ACTGGTAAACTTAAAATTGGGAGATAGTGTGTTAGTGAGTACCATTGATGCATACTCACAGATGAGCTCAGAGCCAAAATTGAGAAAATGCAACTAGACCCAGGCAAAGTAAACTAAAAATTATAGCCTATTTTCCAAAAAGCATATTTTAGTATTTTTAAAGTCAAGGAAGAAAAAGCAAATCATATATATATATATATATATATAAAATTTGAATTCTATTTGATAAAAAAATGCAGAAAATTACAGTAGAGACTGGCATGTTAAAAGGGAAAGAAATAATAACATTTTGAGGGACATTTGTTTAAAAAATTGACATGGGAAGTAAAGAAGTGACAGTTCCACTTCAGATGAGAATTTACACAATGAACTACGATGAAACAACACTAAGGAAGAGGACAGAAACCACAGAGACTCTCTGAGGCTTCTCCTGGGACAACCAGCTCCTGTCAGATCTGCAAGACAAAAAGCAGAGAGTTACAATCCCCTCAGTTAAAAGATTCATGAGACCAGTTCCTTAGGTGTTTGGAGTATAGAAAGGGATGACTAAGAACCTAAGGTTACAAATATTGGGAAAAATTTAAGCTGGAAGAATGCCAGAAAAACCCTCTGAACCAGTCATCAAATACAAACTTAAGCAACCCACAGCATCTTCCTGTCATCTTTCTTCTTCAATAGCTTCTTCGCTTCAGTACCCTCTCTCCAACTTCCATTCTCTATGTCAGTACTTAAATTATCTAACTTCACAATTCTTCCACTTTGTTCATTTGTTTATAGGACATCGCTCTTGGAGTGAACATCCATTCCTAATCTTCCATTCTTGGTTTTACCTCTGTCCTATCTGGAACTGAAAAGAAAAAGCTTCTCAATTCCACCTTGAGATTATCCTTCTGGAAACACTGTGTGTTCAACTCCACAATGAGGCAGACCAGGAACCTCTTATGTCTATTTCCCTGCAGTTTCAATCCTTTTCTTTATCTTGACAAAAATTCAAGCAAAATAAGAACATTAAAAAATTTAAAGAAAGTTAAGACTCTACAAATATGTTAAAATCATTTTTCTTAATGTTTTACATAAAGTTTCTCTATTTGATAACTATGTTAGATCATACAAAACGCAAGCATTTACATGGCATAAAGATAATTCGTTTATGTGCTTTCAAAATTTGAACAAGCATTCACATCTATTGTGATTCCTATACTTCTATTCATGGTAAGTTTTCACTGGAAGTTTTGTCCATACAGTAATTAATGTCTTAGGAAGAAACATAAGTCATTTTACTCCAGGATGATGAGCAACAGCCCAATTTCATGTGTATGGTTTAGAATTTAAAGAAAGAAATAATACTATAAATAACAAATGGATCCTTAAATAGTTTCCTGTGTGAAATATGTTTGCAAAAATAGAGTTCTTGCAACTCTCTGAGTGTTGTTAACTAGTCTTGATGTGTCAAGGCCAGCATGAAGCACATGTTGGAAAAGTATTTCATGATTTTTTTGGATAAATACCAACAAAATTACCAAACAAGAAAAGATGGCACTGGAGTTTTGGGATGCCAGAGGCAGGTTCCTCTGAGAGTTGCTTGGTAAAGCTGTCTAATTTAAAGGTCCTTTCTCTCTTCCCAAGCCATTGTTTGCAGCTCATTCTCAGATCAGTGATCTTATATATACAAAAAAAATTAGAGAATATGAGGGTTTTTTAATCTGGATGGAATTTTTTCAAATGTTTCCATGAATAGTTGAATAGTTACTGATCAAATTAAAACACAGAAACAAGCTGGAATGATATTCCGTCAGAATTCAATGAGGGAAAAGAATGAATAGGTTCTACACCATCACGCTCAGTTTGCAGTTTCCATTGGTGATGGAGGACACAACAGACTGTTATGGTCTGGAGTGTGAGAAAAGACCACCTTAGACACTGAATTGAGTCAAATTGTGAGTCTTTATTTACTCGCCAGGACTACTTCTGTTATAGCCAGAACCCACAATACCGCAGTACTGCAGAACAGAACAGAGAGACAGAGTCACTGAGGCTGAAATCACCAAGAGGAGTTTTATTGATTAGCTCGAGCTAGGGTCCAAGTCTCAGAGCACCAATCGCAGCAGCCTCTAGTCTGACAAGGACCCCTCCTTGGGCTACAGGCATCTCTTAAATACTTTTCTTTTCTTCCCTCCTCCCGCAATTTTCCCCAGCATTTTATTGCATCCCTTTTCTAGTTGGCTCTGGTTGGTCCTGGGCTGTCAGTTGATTGGTTCTAGAACCAGGGAGTTTTCTCTGCATTTTATTTCAGCCTTTTGTTGCGTTATCTCGGCTCCCCCGAGACTTTCCATCCTCTTATCAGGAAATGACCTGTGGTCACCACCCTTTTGGGCCCAGCACCCGCTGAAGCCTATATGGCTTCACTCAAACTATACATACTGCAAGCAAGCTTAGGGAACAGAAGCTAGAAGAAGCTGTTAGCCTTACTTTTTCTATAGTTCCTATTTCCTACACTTCTGCTGTGCAGAATGGCAGGCACAGAAAAGTAGCAATGAGCTAGGAAAAAAATGGCCCCTTTTTAAAGGCAAAAACCACACTAAAAATCTAATTAGCAAGCATTTTTACAAAAGCGAGAGGAAGCATTAATCTTACGTCTCTATCTTGTTTTAGCACAAACGGGGTGAGGGGAGGTTGGAGCCTTGAGATGGGTTTTGTAGGAGTCACAGGCTGCAGCTAAGATTCAGCTGAGAGGAAGCCTCTGATGCAGCCTAATTACGGACATTAATCTTAGTTGAAACACGTTCTGCATTCTGTGATCTAAGCCCGAGCGCATTTCCCTAGGTATATGACGCATGTCAGGCACCTCAGGGGGCTAGCGGCTATATCTTGTGGGCAGTTGTGCCATGCACCATCGCCCTTCTTAGTATTTAAACTTAATCACACTAGGAGAGGCAAGATGTCAGGTCCAGAGTCAGATAAGAGTCTGCTGAAACTTTTTCCACTCTCCTAAGCAAGCAAGCAAGCAAGCAGAATACAGAAGCTGACTGCTGGTTATCAGCTACCTGTGGTCTCTAGGTCCTAACACAGACCAAAGGTCTGAGAAAAATTTAAGGTCCTGGCAAAAGACCTAAGAAGATGTCTTTCCAAGTCATGTAAGCAGTGAACCCCTCACAGGCCTACGTTTTCCCTTGCCTTTCATGCTCTTGATCTGCATTTTGGGTGCTGAGAAGGGAGAGGCAAAGCTAAAGACAAAAGGGAGGCCAAAGTGAAAGTAAATTAAAATAAACATAAAAACATGTACAGGGGGCCACAATTACCATTACATGAAAATGAAAAATGATCAGATCATCAATTTTTAAAAACCTGTTGGGTTTAGCCAAAATAATACCCAAAGTAAACATATACCCTTAAGGTTTTATTAAAAAATATTGAAAATCAGTGGGTTCCCTTATATTCATTTATTTTAAGAAGCTAGAAAAGCCAGCATACAAGTATTACACATTCTGCAGATGCAAGGATAAGTTAAAATAATGCACTTATACTATACACAATTTAAACCAACAAATAAAAATTAATATGAAACAGATGGTTTCCTAAAAAATACTAAAATTGAGTAAGAAGAGTTTAAAATTCCAAGTCTCAAAATAATAGAAGAAAAGGAAAAGGTAGTCAAGGAAGTAGTCTTAAATAGGGAGCAAGTCCAGAGAATTTTACAGGTAAATTTAACTAAACTTCAGAGAATAGAAAAAGAAAATCATGTTGACTCTCTCTTTTAAGCTATTGTAAACTGATTCCAGACTAGGATAGCACCAGAAAGAAAACTATGGACCCTCTCACTTAGGAATAGAGATGTTTAGATCAAATGTGACAATATATTTAAAGAATGCTACATCACAACTGTGCTGGATCTAATCAGTCAGCACTCACACCCATTCCCACCTCCCACGCTGTGTCTGCCAGTGCTTCAGAGCCTGGAAAGCTATGAACTACACTTTCCAGACTCCCTTCCAACTATGGTATTGATGCAATTTGGAACCACCAATTAAATTCAATAGCATGAAATATGCAAAGTAAAAACAAAGCAGGAACTAATTTCCTGCTGATGTTTAAGCTGATACTCAAGACCATTAAGTGCGAGTTTCCAGATGCACTTGTGGCTAGACTGAGTATTCAGTGTCTAGCCACCAGCCTCATGTGGGTGGAAAGACAATTGTAGTGATGATGGCATGAAGGCAATAGCTTCTGGATCCCAGAATCCCAGCAACTTCCATGTGATCTTGAACTCAAAGCCATCTGATCTGAACTCAAAAGCCCCCAGCTTCCATTAATCTAGTCTCCAGTGAATTATTTTTCATATTTGGACTTTGCACAATAACATAATCATAATTTTAGATTCATCAGACACTATCCTCTTGACGCTCTTATTTTGTTTTGTTTGATATTCATTATATTAACTTCCCCACTCAATACAAAAACTAGAATTTTATTAAATATCTCTCCTATGTCTCTGTGCTCCTCCCAATCCCATCCCCTCTGCCTACCATCCTGAAGTAACCCCTATGTTGAGCTTTGATTTGTTTTCACTTTACCATATATGTACCTAACTAATATAAACATACTATGCAGAAAGTTTCCCTGGTTAAAATTATCTCTACAGAATACCTCTTCATTTTAATACCCACATATCATAGACCTTAGATCTCTCTCATTACAGCATTTGTTGGATGGTATTTATATAAAGAAAATGTACATGTATGTACTTCGCAAAACAGTTGTACCAAGTTAAACGTAAACCAGTAATGTATAGGGATCCCATTGATGTATTATTTCCTCCAACTCTCGGTATTATTGGTTTCTTTTTTTCCATTAAAATGAGTATAAAATGATGTATGATGGTTTTGACTTGCAGTTCTCAGATTATGAATGAAGCTGAGTATCTCTATAAAAACATGTTTAATGTATATATTTCCTCTTCTCTATAGTACTTGTTCAAATATTTTGCCCATTTCTTTGTGTTTTTCTAATTGATTTGTGGTTGTTCATATATTCTTGATATTAATACTGTTTTAGTTGTAAGTATTTAAAATATCTTTCCCCAGTTCTTTAGTGTTTTGATGAACAAAAGTCCATAATTTTAGTGTATAAGAATTTTTAGTTATTTTCTTCTTCAACACACATTTTTTGTATCTTTTTTAAAAAATGCTGTTGTGATAGTCACCCTCCAAGATGGCCCCCAGTGAGTCTCACCTTCTGGTATTCAGACCTTTGGGTCGTCCCCTTCTTTATATGTCAGGTCTGGTCCATGTGACCAGTGGGGTGCAGCAGAAGTTATGGTACGTAACTGCTGAGGCTAGATCATAAAAGACATTGCTGCTTTCCCTCGTCCTCTTGGATCATTTGCTCCCGTGGCAGCTAGCACCACATTGTGAGGAGGGCCAGTTAGCCCTATGGAGAGTTCCACGTGGTGAGGAACAGAGGGCTCCTAGCAATAGCCAACACCATGTTGCTGCCGTGTGAATGAGCTATCAGATGCTTCAGTTCCAGATGATTATAGTTCCCACTACCATTTAACCAAAAAGATTTCTTTATGGCATTTGAGAGAGGAAGGTCATAATTTCCAACAGATATTGCCTTATAAATCTTCTAACAGACAAAATAGTACAGCCTCTGTACTCTTCCACAAAGAATGTCTGTGGAAGAAAATATGAAGAAAGGAAAGAAAAGAATGAATAACAAACAAAAAAGAACAGAACAGAGAGAAAGAACTCATTCTACCATTAGTGGAAAAGAGGAAACTAGAAAAGGTATGATTAAAGGGAGAGAGGCATCTGAATATTTCTGAACCTCCATAACATAAGGATTATATGCAAATTATAAGAAGAAATTATCATTCCATGATAGGTCCCAGTTTTAAAGGTATCAGTGAATAAGGTTCTACTCATAGGTAAATCTTCTTCATTTCACATATTGAATTCCTTTTAGTACCACAGAAAACATCATTCCAGCCCCATCCTCTAGGTTTCCAGAAAACTATTGAACCACACTGCTCTGCAGGAAAATTGGGCTCATTTGGGTGCCAAAACCTAAAGGGAAAGAAAAGGTAGAAATGCTCCTCAGTGAATGCACAGTGACTGATTAGAAAGTATATATTAATAGGTTTGGGGTTGAACAGAATGGTTAAGGGTGAGACAGCATTCCAATGATCGTTCCCCTTTCTCATATTGCCCTCCTCAAAAACCTCAAGTATGGACACACACTTCTACACTGGTTCCTCTAACATTCTCCTGGCAAAACTTTTCTAAATGGTGCACTCTTGGACCTTTTCCCTGGAATCTGATCTTTATTTGCTCCTCTTTACAGAGCCCTTTTCCTGACCTCAGTTATTAAACAATTCCTTTCTTACTGACACATCCCACAGGCTGCCTCCTTACATCTGTGTACTCTTCCTAAATATCTCTGTACTCATGGAGCTGCCTTAAATGAGTGTTAGGGTGCCTGTGTCTGGACATAAAGTTACCCTGCTTCCAAGGAATACACTCTACAGTAGGGGTAGGAGCTCGAACATTATTTTTGGAGTTAAAAGACCTGGTTTTAAAAGACATTCTGTAGAAAAGACATCTGCACTTGAATGTTTATAGCAGCGCAATTCACAATTGCAAAGATGTGGAAACAACCCAAGTGCCCATCAGTACATGAGTGGATTAATAAAATGTGGTCTATGTATACCATGGAGTTCTACTACGCCATAACAAAAAAGATGAATACCTCTTATATTTTCCTGGGTGGAGCTGGAGCCCATTCTACTAAGTGAAGTATCACAAGAATGGAAAAACAAGCACCATATGTACTCACCATCAAATTGGTATTAACTGATCAACACTTAAGTGCACATTAGTAGTAACATTCATCAGGTGTCAGGCAGATGGGAGGGGGAAGGAAGGGATGGGTATATGTACACCTAATGGGTGTGGTGTGCACCATCTGGGGGATGGACACACTTGAAGCTCTGACTCAGGTAGGGCAAGGACAATACACATAACCTAAATATTTGTACCCCTATAATATGCTGATATAAAGAAAAAAAATTTTTTAAACCTGATTTTGCTATTCATTCATTTTGACCTTGATATAGTAATTTAATCTACCCAGGTAATAGGTTCCTCTTCTATACAAATGGAAATCATAATAAAGTCTCTAAATAACTCAGAAGATTGTGTGAGAATCAAATAAGGTAATGCATAATTAAAGTAAGTTCTTTTTTTAAAAGCCACAAATGAATAATACTCTTATGTAATTTTCCTACTACAATTGTACACAGTTCTGACCTAAATATTTTGAATCTTCTTAACTATAGATGAATTTAAGTATCTAGTTGTGTTGAGAGGCAGAAAAATATTAATAAAATGGCTTATAGCACAATTTTTGGAATCAGATAGACATGGATTGAGACCCAGTTTCTCATCTTACTAATTTATTGATCTTGGACAAGTTATTCAATTTTTCATTTATAACATTAGTCCTGAAAGAGAGAAGTTTTTATGAAGTTTGAGAAAATACATGTGCCTAGTAAGGGATTAATAATTTTTAGATTCTAATCATTGTTATAATTGTTAATATTAACATTAATAGTCACTGCCAACAAAATTTCCCTAAATTTTCTATGTAAAAAGGCCCTATGATTCATTAATCTATGTCTGCACTCACCTGACATTTTTCTTGAAAGGTGTCTGATCAATCCATTGCCAATTGCCATTACCTTTTGGATCTGAGAGCCCCAGAAAATAAGAAAGTGATTCATTCAGCTGCTGGACAATGAAATTCTACATGAAGAAAAAGAAGGAGTCATAGACTTTAGAATTTCCAGAGTGAACAGAATAAGAGTTCTTTATAGTCTTTAGAGCCATTCTTTAGAAGAAAGGCCAAGGTGCAAGGAGTCACATCATGGTACACTGACCAGGAGTACAGGCCAAAAAACACCAACATCAACTCATGGAGGAGAGAGACCTAACACAGGCATTTCAATCTCAAACATAGTATCATTCCTTTTTTTTTTTTTTTTTAACCAAGAAACAGAATTGTTTTTAAAGGTACACAGTCCATAAATCCATTTTTGTGCTTTCAGTCTTTTTTTATTTGTTTGAATGTTGTGATGGTTAATTCTATGTGTCTACATGACTGGGCCAAGGGGTGACCAAATTAACATTATTTATGGGTGTGTCTCCAAAGGTATTTTTAGATGAGACTAGCATTTCAATTGCTGGGCTAAGTAGTAGATTGCCCTCCCCAATGTGGGTGTGCATTATCCAATCTATTGAGGGACAAAATGGAACAAAAGAAAGACAAAAAAAGCCTTAAAAATAGGTTAGATCAGGCAGAAGAAAGAATCTCAGAGCTTGAAGACAACATCTTTGAATTAAACAAGTTAGTTGCAGAGACAGAGCAGAGAAATAAGAGAAAAAGAGCAAAGCCTACAAGAAATGTGGGATTATGTGAACAGACCTAACATAAGAATCATAGGCATCTATGAAGGCAAAGAAGAAAATATCCAAGGCTTGGAAAATCTGGAGGAAAATTTCCCTGGCCTTGCTAGAAATCTAGATATCCAGGTGCAAAACCTCAAAGGACTCCTTGAAGATTCATCACAAAGAGGCAAATAGTATGACACATAGTCAGCAGATTGGTCAATATAAACATGAAAGAGGTGCTCTCATGAGCCATAAGGCAAAAGTGTCCAGTAACTTACAAAGGGAAATCCATGAGACTAACTGAAGACTTCTCAACTGAGATCTTATAAACCAGAAGTGATTGAGGCCTCATGCTAAGTCTTCTCAAACAGAATGGCCAACCTAGAATTTGTATCCTGCAAAACTAAGAGTATAGCAAAAGTAATCTTAAGCAAAAAGAACAAATTATGAGACATCAATTGACCAGACTTCACGATATACTACAAGGCTATAGTAACCAAAACAACATAGGACTGGCACAAGAACAGAGATACAAACAAATGGATCACAACAGATAACCCAGATATAAAACCAACCTCATATTGCCTCTTATCTTTGACAAAGCATACAAAAACATATGCTAGGGAAAAGAATCCCTATTCAATAAATGGTGCTGGGAAAATTGGATAGCCACATGTAGAAGACTGAAACAGGATCCACACCTCTCACCACTCACAAAAATCAACTCACAATGGATAAGATATTTAAACTTAAGGCATGAAACCATACAAATTCTAGAAGAAAATGTTGGAAAAACTCTTATAGACATAAAACTTGGCAAAGAATTTATGAAGAATATCCCAAAGCAATCACAGCAACGACAAAAATAAACAAATGTGACCTGATCAAATTAAAACCTTCTGCACAGATAAGAAACAATCATTAGAGCAAAAAACAACCTACGGAATTAAAGAAAACATTTGCATGCTCTACATCCAATAAAGGGCTGATAACTAGAATCTATATAGAACTCAAGGAAATCAGCACAAAAAATTAAACAACTCCATTAAAAAGTAGGCAAAAGACATGAATAGAAACTTTTCAAGAAAAGATAGACTAATGGCCAAGAAACGTTTGAAACAATGCTCAACATCTCTAATCATCAGAGAAATGCAAATCAAAACCACAGTGAGATATCACTTAAATCCAGTGAGAATGGCTTTTATCAAAAAGTTCCAAACAAGTGTTGGCATGGATGCAGAGAGATAGGAACAGTCATACACTGCAGGTGATGCAAACTAGTACAACCTCTATGGAAAGTAGTATGGTGATACCTCAAAAAACTAAAAGTTGACCTATTATTTGATCCAGGAATTCCACCTCTGGCTATTTATCCAAAGGTAAAAATGACATCCTATAAAATATACAGCTGCACTTGAATGTTTACAGCAGCACAATTCACAATTGCAAAGATGTGGAAACAATCCAAGTGCCCATCAATACATGAGTGGATTAATAGAATGTGATATGTATACCATGTAGTACTACTCAGCCATAAAAAAAATGATGAACTAATACCTCTTGTACTAACCTGGATGGAACTGGAGACCATTCTTTTAAGTGAAGTATCACAAGAATGGAAAAACAAACAATGTATGTACTCACCATTAAATTGGAACCAATCCATCAACACTTATGTGCACACTGGAAACTGATGAATGTTATATTCATCAGAAATCAAGCAAGTGGTGGAAGGAGGGGGTGGGTAAGTTCACAACTAATGGGTACAGTGCACACTATCTGGGGAATGGGCACACTTGTAACTTTGACTCAAATGGTACAAAAGCAATTTATGTAACCAAAACGTTTGTACCTCTGTAATATTCTGAAATAAATAAATAAATAAAATATATAACAAAAGGAAATACATAGGAAGGAGGAATTCATCCTTTTTTATTCATATCTGCCGGACTGCTTGAGCTGAGACATCAGTCTTCTACTTCCCTTAGACTAAGATTTATGCCATTGGCTCCCCTGGTTCTCAGGCCTTTGGACTCAAATTGTAGTTATATCACTGGCTTTCCTAGGTCTTCTGCTTACAGATGGTATATTGTGGTCCTTCTCAACCTCCATAATCATGTGATCAAATTCCTCATAATATATCTCTCCATATGTATATATACAATATATGTATCTACATATGCATGTATATATGTGTATATATCTATACATATATATATATTTTTTTCCTCTGGAGCACCTTGAGTAATACAGACATGTTCCATATTTATTTCTGGTTGTTTTTCAGTGAAATTACATTTGGGCTCTTAAAATACAAATTTGTTTCTCCAACTACTCCTTCTCTGAGAAGTAGTAAATTACTTATAAAAGTTAAACATAAAAGAGAGCTCACTAGATTTTAATTGTAGTGGATTTATTTATTTCATAAAAAAACAATTACTCTCATCTTTCCAATTGGGCTTCTAAAATACCTTTAGATGTGTCCAGATTGCTTTCCTATAGGTAATTTTATTGACACTAAATTAAATTAATTTTGAATTGAATCTGAAGGCTTAAGGAGCATTTATTATGTGTTGTCCTGAGATTCTCTGATATAACCCTATATTCCAGGGAGGGCAGGTACTGCTCAGCCAAAGTTGTTACATAATATATAGGAAAGATTCCTGACAATAATTTTTATTTTTAAAAGTACCTGCCCCACCAATGTCAGCATGATAGCAGAATAGAAAGCCCCACACCCTAGTTCCCCCAAAAGACACTTACTTAAAAATATATGTTCCAGATTGCCTTTGTCAACTCCAGAAACCAGTTAAAAATTTTCAGCACCACTGGTGAGTGCAAAGCCAAGAACACTGGTATTAATGCAGGTAAGAAAGTCAGTTGCATTTACCCACCATAACTCCTGCCCAACGAGGCACTACACAAAATAATAATAAAAACAAAACAAAAAAATTCCAACTCTGAGCATCTCTTGGAAGGAAAAGAGAAGAGTAAAATATGTGTCAACTTTCTGGCTTTCCAGTGAACTGCCTTACAGACTTGTTTCTGTCTCACCCAATTTAGAATGTTGCTGGGAAAGACAACATATTTTGGATGTTTGGTGACTACTGAGAAGAAAAGCAGGTACAGCAGATTGCTACAGTTCCAGAGAGATTATGGTACTACAGACAGACATCAGGGAAAGCAAGAGACTACATGCTCCTGAAAAATAACACAAGGTAAGCCACTTCATCTGGAAATTTACATACACAAGTGCAGGGAAGATGCATCACCAAAAATAGTTTGAGCAACTCATAGAATCTATAGCCAGGATGATTGGCAAATGTCTTCCCCTGTACAAAGCCAATCAATAAACACTGGAACAGGTGAGTTTTTTAATGCCCAAATCTCAACAAAAGATCTCAAGGCATGCAATGAAATAGGGAAACATGGCTAAATTAAAGGAGCAAAATAAGTCTCCAGAAACTGTCCCCAAAACAATGATGAATTTATGAATAACCTGACAAAAGACTTCAAAATTACTATCTTAAAGGTCTCAATGAGTTTAGTAATCAATGGACTACTAAACAAAATTCAGAAAATCATGCACAAACACAATGAGAATATAAATAAACATATAGAAAATATATAAAAGAAAGCCAAACTGAACCTCTGGAGCTGAAGAATATAATAACTGAATTGAAAATTTTGCTAGAGAGGTTCAACAGAAGAGTTGCTCAAGCAGAAGAAAGAATCAGTGAACTTGAAGACAAGTCATTTGAAATTATCAAGTCTGAGGAGCAAAACTAAAAAGAAATGAAGGAAAGTACAGAGAACTTACAGGACATATGGAAACCACCAAACGGGCCAATTTATGTATTATGGGAGTCCTAGAAGGAGAATAAAGAGAAAACAGGGAAGAGAATCTATTTGAATAAATCATGTCCCCAAACTTCCCAAATTTGAGAAGGTAAATGGGCATACCAATTCAATAAAATCAATTCTAGCCAGAAATAATCCTAAGAGATTCACACTGAGACACAGTTCATCAAACTGTTAAAGGTCACAAAGAGAGAATGTTGAAAGCAGCAAGAGAAACATGCTCATGATGTAGAAGAGATCTCCCATAATTATCAGCAGATTTCTCAGAGAAGCTTTTCAGGCCAGAAAAAAATGTGATGACATATTCAAAGTACTGAAAGAAAAAAAAATGCCAACTAAGAAAACTGTATCTGGAATAACCATCATTCAAAAAATGAAGAAGAAATTAAGAATTTCCCAGATAAACAAAAGTTGAGAGAGTTTACCATCATTAGACCCATCCTACAAAAATACTAAAGAGGGTCAAGTTAAAATGAAAGGATAGTAGACAGAAT